ACATCTGTAGACGACTGCTTTTTCCCCTCCCTGTAGCAGTATGGTAGACCTTGTTCATTGTCAGCTCAACTAATACCCATTTTTCTTCCTTAGTCACGGCAATCTTAATTTTTTTTTCAAGTGACAATATGCCTAGTGAAAACTGTATTTCAGCCATAGGAAGCTAATGTGGTATAATCTGAAATTGGGCAGGTAGGTCTTCTAGTAAAGCTCCTTAAAACCAAAACTGATGACAGAAGAGAAGCTGCTGTGTACCCTTTTGTGCTCTTTTTTCACCGATTCTCTTCTCAACTCCCTGCTTTCTGCCTGGAACAGCCATCTTGAAACAAGTGCAATTTGAAGATGGAAAGCATTGCTAAGGATGGTGGAACGGAAAGAGGAGATTGGGTCTTTGAGACAGCAAGGAGGTTCCAGACCAGCCGGTGATGAATGGCATGCCTCCAAACCTCTCTATGTGAAAGAAAAACTTTTTTTTTTTTTTTTGGAAATTAAATCTTTTATCCAGTTTCAGGCACCACTATTTCTGCTCAAACAGAATTTCTACCTGGTAATACAGTCATCCAAATTTTCAACTCTCCCTGCAAGTCTTATTCCTGGTCTCCATTAAAAAAAATCAAGGTCAAAAAAAAAAAAAAAAGAAAAAAGAAAGAAAAAAGAAAAAAATCAAGGTCATCAGATGCTAAAGCACTGAAATCCCTGCCTTCAGGACTTCATGTCCCTCCTATGTGAGTTACTTTCTTGTGTCCAAGGCAAAGCACTGCAACCAGGCTTAGCTAACCTCACACTGCTTCCTCAGAACATCCTCCTAACTAACATCCCTTCTCTCTCCTCTATAGGTAACATCTACCCATCTCTCCACTCTGGCCATAAAGATACTGAAATCTCTATCTTTAAAAAGCCAAACAATTTTTAGAAACTCACAATCCTCCTTCCAACCCCACGATTCCCGTTAACCACTCTCCTTTCTCCCACGTGCAAAGAACAGCAGAGTCGGGCAGCCCAGGTGCCGCAGCGGTTTAGCGCCGCCTGCAGCCGGAGGCGTGATCCTGGAGACCCAGAATCGAGTCCCACCCACGTCGGGCTCCTTGCACGGAGCCTGCTTCTCCCTCTGCCTGTGTTTTTGCCTCTCTCTCTCTCTCTGAAAGAATAAGAAAAACCAAAACCAAACCAGCGGAGTCCGTGTGTGCCAGCTTCCCGCTCAAACTGCCCACCTACGGGCCCACGGGCGGCCTCCCCAGGCCCTCCGTCCCTCACTCTCCCGACCAAGAGCGCCCTACCCGCCAGGGCCTCTGCACCCCCCTGCTTTTTCTGTCCGCAGCGGGAAGCAGGCTGGAACACCCCCCCTTGTGCATCGCCTTCCCTCAGGCCTGCGCCGTCCAGGCCGCCTTCTCCCTCTCCTCCTAGGTCAGCTCCTCTCCCTAAGGGTCAGGGCGTTAGGCCCAAGGAGGGAAGGACGGCAGGAGCTCCGAGGAGGGGACAGCAGCTATCCTAACCGCACGCCCTCGAACGGAAGGGACGCCTGGGAGAGCGAGGGGTCCCCTGGAAGCACCAGCACCTGCGCGTTCCCGCGCTGCAGCCAGCCGCGTGCAGAAAAGGGCCCTGAGCCGCCCCAGGTGCCCGCGGGCGGGGCGGCCTGGGCGCCGGCCGGGCCCAGAGCGCATGCGCGGGCCATCTGCGGGAGGGCGGCGCCTGCGCAGTAGGCGGCACGTGCCCGCCAGCCTAGGTAAGGGCGGGAGCCGGGCCGCCGGGCGCCAGCCTGTCCGCGTGGCGGAGCCTGCTCGGGGGCAGGTGGGTGTGCGGGGCAGACCGGGCCGCGGTCGGCAGACGCCGGGCTCGGGGCGCGGGGCGCGGGCTCCCCGGCCTGGGAGGGCGCGGGGTCGGCCCCGGGCGAGGCCGGGGCGCAGGACACGCCCCGGAGAGGAGCTCCCGGGTCTGCCCAGACCGTCGCGCCGCGGCCTGTGCGCTCCTGCCGTGGCCTCCGGGCCTCAGCCGCCCTCCTGCCGCGGCGGCGGCTGCTCCGGGAGCCGAGACTTGCTCCAGCTGGAGGGGCCCCGCCCGCGGGCGGCTCGGCCCGGGTCCCCGAGGCCAGGCGAGCGGCAGAGACGGCGGGGACCCCGCCCCCAGGCTTGGGCTTCCGAGCGGGGGCCCGACGACGGCCTCCGTCGCGGCGGGCACAGCGCTGGCCTCGCCTGAACGCCAACGCCTGTTTTTCAGCGCAGAAAACGAACTCCTCTTCGGAAAACAGCGCTCACTCTGAGGGCGGTACCGCCGGGCCGTTTTGCTACGTGCACGCGGTGGGCCCTCCGCCGTAGCCGGGTCCCCGGTACCAGAATCTCCCCGGTAATCCGTTCTGTGTTCCGGGGGCAGGTAAGGAATCTGAGGAGGTCGGCGGGGGGCGGGGGGCGGGGCGGGGGCTCCCCCTGAAGCAGCGCCCGAGGTCTTCTCACCCCGCAGTCCACGACTTCTCTTTTCCTCACCCTCCTGCATACGGGGGCAGGGTTTGAAGTTCACCTTAATAGATAAAACTTGAATTCTACCCATATGCCAGTTCTTTTGCCAAATACGGGAAGTAGATTCTCTCGTTTGACCTCAACAAAGCCATTATTGCTGTGTGTCTCACAAATGAGGGAACGGAGGCTGAGTCCAGGACTCGCCCAGTTACGCAGGAGTCAAACCGAAATGTCACGGAACCACTCTGGCAGAGGCACCGGAGAGCTCATAGTCCCTATGGATTATCCCTTCTCATGTCTCCAGTAGCAAAGATAATGTTCGATCTAATTCTTCGGCGTGCCCTGCTATAGATACAGCGTGTGGTGTATGTTATGCAACTGTTTTCCAAGGATTTGAAAACTAGGTGTGATAAGCACTGCTTTTGAGTTCATCAGTCACTGATCCCACCTGAATAGAGTCTTCAGCCCAAGGAGCCCCTCAAGGCAGCCATTTTAGAATCGCAGTCCCAGAATGAGGATTTTTGCCAGCATGCGACCTATGCTCAGCTCCTCACTGTCTCCAGCAGGACTGCCTACCTGACATGCTTTGGACTTGTCCCTTCACATGAACTAGTTCCTGAATTTTCATATATAAACATTCCATTAGCTTTGTTTCTCTGGTGACCCCTAACTAATACAGATGTTGTAATGGTTTTGGAATGGCTCGGATGAAGGAATTGTATGAGGAAAACTCTTGAGGTCAGAGGGTGGGAAATTCCTGAGAGAAAGAAATGAATATTGTATCTTAAAATTTACTTGAATTAAAAGGCTGAGAGTCTATACTCACGGACTTTTTTTTTTTAATTTTTTTTTAAGATTTATTTATTTATTCATTCAGAGAGAGTGAGAGAGAGGCAGAGACACAGGAAGAGGGAGAAGCAGGCTCCATGCAGGGAGGCCAACGTGGGACTCGATCCCGGGTCTCCAGGATCACACCCCGGGCTGCAGGCAGCACTAAACCGCTGCGCCACCAGGGCTACCCTTTTTTTTTTTTTTAAATGGAATTCACCTTTAAGGTTTAAAATATTGGTCCTGGGGCAGCCCGGGTGGTTCAGCGGTTTGGCACCGCCTTCAGCCCAGGGCCTGATCCTGGAGACCTGGGATTAAGTCCCATGTCGGGCTCCCTGCCTGGAGCCTCCTTCTCCCTCTGCCTGTGTCTCTGCCCCTCTCTCTGTGTCTCTCATGAATAAATAAATAAAATCTTTTAAATAAATAAAATAAAATCTTGGTCTTGAGAGTTGAGGTTTAGGAGAATTAAAGTGGTGAGTACTGGGGATAGGAATCCGATCTGTATGCTTGTTTGCTTCCTTAATTGCAACCTAATTCAGAGATTTTAGTGAAAAAAAGTTTATAGGATTTTACTGTCTTGTGCAACCTAGAATTCCAAGAAAGAAGCCATTTAGGGGCGCCTAAGTAGCTTGCTCAGTTAGGTGTCTGCCTTTGGCTAGATCATGATCCCAGGGACCTGAGATCAGGGCCTCAGCCCTTGGAGTCCAGCTTGCTGCTCAGTGGGGAGTCTGCTTCTTCCACTCCCCCCATCCCACTTATATTCCTTCTCTTTCCCAAATAAATAAATCTTAAAAAAAAAAAAAAAAAGAAAGCCACTTCAGGCTGGCTAAATAGGGAATCAAAAGACATAATCCATATTAGAATCTATATCCCTTTATTTCTTTTTTTCCCGCCTTAGGTTTTGACTTTCCCTGTATTGATGTCATTTTCAGCCATTTCAAAGTGGCAAAAGATGGTAACAGCATTTCTGGGCCTGTAATGATTTTATGGCTAGGGATCCCAGAGAAGAGCCTTTTCTTCCAGTAGTTTTTCTTTCTTTTTTAAGATTTTTTTTTTTTTTTTGAGAGAGAGTGAAAGCGAGAAAGAACACAAGCAAAGGGAGGGAGAGAGAGGAAGAATCAGACTCCCTGCTGAGCAGGGAGGCCCATGCAGGGCTCTGATCCCAGGACCCTGGGATTAACCGATTAAGCCACCCAGGTACCCCTTCTAGTATTTTCAACAAGAGTTCCAAAACTAACTCCTGGTGGTGTGGCTTTGTTACATGTTGTCTTTGTTCTACTTACCAAGCCAGGAAGACGGACTAGTCTCCTTAACCAGTCTAAGTTATATGCCCCATGTTGAAGGTGGTATGAAGGACAGAGAAGGTCTCTCCTTTTTCACAGGAGCTTGAAGACCTATTGCTGAGAGAAGAATGGATGCCAGTACAAAAAGATGTTGACTGAAGATAATTTACATCATTTTTGGATAGAGTTAAGTAGGAAATTAGAAGAATGTATTAGAACTTGTTAAATATGGGATCCCTGGGTGGCGCAGCGGTTTGGCGCCTGCCTTTGGCCCAGGGCGCGATCCTGGAGACCCAGGATCGAATCCCACATCGGGCTCCCGGTGCATGGAGCCTGCTTCTCCCTCTGCCTATGTCTCTGCGTCTCTCTCTCTCTCTCTCTCTCTCTGTGACTATCATAAATAAATAAAAAAATTAAAAAAAATTAAAATCTGCTTTGCTGAAAGTTTTAAAAAAAATTTATTAAAAAAAAAAGAACTTGTTAAATAGCTTGGTCAAATTATGTATTAAACAGCGTATCTGTCATATCCAAGGTTGTAAAGATGGAGGAATATAACGAGTCCAGTTGAGCAAGTAGACTCAGCATCCTGGCTGTCTTAACCCTACAGGGCAGATTATTGTGGTTTATTTTGTACCTAGTCATTTTGACTTGGAATTATTCAGGAGAGGCAAAACTATTCTATGAATAATGACATCTCTTTAGTTGAAACTGGTTTAAATTACTTTTTTATTGAAAAAGTAACCAAATGCATTGGCTAAAAATTAAAACAGTATACAAAGAATGGTCTTTCCCTCTTATCCCTTTTCTCAGTCTACCAGAGAATACGGCTAGTGATTTGGGTATCTTTCTGGATATATATCCTATGCATATTCAAGGATTTTTACTTGTATTTAGTAGGCTTTATTTTTTAGAGCAACTTTAGGTTCACAACAAAAGGGAGCAGAAGGCAGAAAGATTTCCCATATGCCTCCAGCATGCCTCTCCCATTATCAACATCCTTCACCAGAGTGGTATATTTGTTACAATCAGTGAACCCGCAGTGGTACGTTTCACCCAAAGTTTACATTAGGGTGTGCTCTTAGAGCTGTATGTTCTGTGGTTTTGGATAAATATATCATGAAAGATACCTACCCACCATTATAATATTGTATTGAATAATTTCACTGCCCTAGAAGTCCTTTACCGATTCATGCCTCCATTCTCTCTAACCCTTGGCAACCATCTATCTTTTACTGGTTCTGTAACTTTGCCTGTTCCAGAAAGTTGTATCATTGGAATCCTATAGTATGCTTCTTTTCAGATTTGCTTCTTCTGCATAGTAATACGCATTTTGAGTTTCCTTGTATTTTTTTTGTTTCTCGATATCTTGTTTTTTTACTGTTAAATAATATTCCATTGTCTGAATAATGTTTATATATCCACTCATCTACTAAAGGATATCTTGGTTTCTCCCAAGTTCTGGACGAATATGTTTAGTTTTGTTAAGAAAGTGCCAAACTTTCTTCCTTTCACACTATATCATTTTGCATTTGTACCATCTTGCATTTCCACTAGTAATCAGAGTTCCTATTGCTGCACATCCTCGCCAGCATTGAGTGTTGTTAGTGTTCAGGATTTCAGCCATTCTAGTACTCCTATAGTATCTCATTACTTTAATTTCCATTTTCCTGATGACATGATGTGAAGCATGTTTTCATGTTTACTTGGTAAGATTTGTCTTTGTATTTTCTTTGAGATAAATGTTAAGGTCTGTAGTCTCTTTTTAATTAATTAATTAATTTATTTATTTATTTACGATAGTCACAGAGAGAGAGAGAGAGAGAGAGAAAGAGAGAGAGGGAGGCAGAGACATAGGCAGAGGGAGAAGCAGGCTCCATGCACCGGGAGCCCGACGTGGGATTCGATCCCGGGTCTCCAGGATCGCGCCCTGGGCCAAAGGCAGGCGCTAAACCGCTGCGCCACCCAGGGATCCCTGTAGTCTCTTTTTAAATCAGGTTATTTTCTTAATGTTTTAAGTGTTTTTTGTATATTTTGGGTAACAGTCCTTTATCAGGTATGTATTTATAAATATTTTCTCCCAATATGTGACTTTTTATTCACTTGACAGTATCTTTTGTTGAGTTTTACATTTTAATGAAGTTTAGCTTATCAGTTCATTCTTGCATGGATCACATCACGTATGCCACTGGTTTTGTGTCTAAGTAATCACCAAACCCAAGCGCACCTAAGTTTTCTCTTGTGTTACCCTTTAGGTCTTAGAGTTTCTGTATTTTACTTAGAGGTGTGTGCTCCATTTTGAGTTAAGTTTTGTGAAGGGTGTTTGTTGTAAAGTTTGTGTGTAGGATCACTTTTTGTACATGTATGTCTGGTTGTTCCAAGACAATTTGTTGAAAAGACAGCAATCTTTGCGCCATTGTATCGTCCTTGCTCCTTTGTCAAACATTGGTTGATTATATTTATATGGGTCTGTGTGTGAGCTCCCTATTCTACATTGATCTATTTGTAATTTAGGATTTTTTTTTTTTTTAGATTTTATTTATTTATTCATAAGAGACACACAGAGAGAGAGAGGCAGAGAGAGCAGACTCCATGCAGCCCTGGACTGAAGGCGGCACTGAACCACTGAGCCACCCGGGCTGCCCTTATTTGTAATTTCTTAAGTGTTTGGTAGACGTCACCAGTGAACCTTTCTGGGCCTGGTGCTTTCTGTTCTGGAAGGTTATCAGTTAATTGATTCACTTCCTTTAATATAAAAAGATCCGTAAAGATGTCCATTTCTACTTCTGTGAGTCTAGTTTATCTCCCAAGGAATTGGTCCATTTTTTGTAGGTTTTGAAAGCTGTGATAAGAGTTCATAGTATTCTTTCCATCTTTTTACTGTCCACAAGATTTATAGTGATGTACCCTCTTTTATTTCTAATGTTAGTCATTTGTGTCTTCCTTTTTTTACTCCATAAGCTGGCTGGAGGCTTATAAATGTTACTGATCTTTTCAGTGAACCAGCTTTTGTTTTGTTTTCTATTGATTTTCTGTTGTCGATTTCACTAAGTATGCTTTAAATTTTCTTATGCTTGGATTTAATTTGCACTTCATTTTTTAGTTTCCTAAGTTAGAGGCTAGATGATGGATTTTCAGATCTTTTTAGTTTTGTGAATTTTTCTCTAAGCACCACTTCCATGCCATCCAACACATTTTGAGAGATTCTATTTCATTTAGTTCAAAATATTTTTAAATTTCTTCTGAGATTTCTGTATTGACTCAGTGTTACTTTAGTAGTGTATTTAATCCAAAAGTATTTCGGGATTTTACAGCTATATTCTGTTGTAGGCTAAGAGTAGACGCTGTATGATTAATATACATTTTAATTTCTAAAGGTGTTTCCTGGCTCATCGTACAGATATCTTGGCACATGTTCCATGTGGGTATATGTGTATTCTGTTTGATGAAGTAGTCTGTGGATGTCCGTTACTTCCATTTGGTTAAGGGTGCTGTTTAGTTCAACCATACTTATTCATTTTTTTTACCCACTGTATCTGTCCTGTTCTGATAGAGGAGTGTTAAAGTCTCCCAACAGTAATAGTGGGTCATTCCATTTCTCCTTGCAGTTCAATCACTTTTTGCCTCACATAGTTTCACCCTTTGTTAAGGGCATACACTTTAGGGATTGTTACGTTTCAGTGAAGAATTGAGGTTTCATGCAATGCCACTTTTATCCCTGATCCCTTTCCTTGCTCTGAAGTCTGCTCTGTCTGAAAAAAAAAAAATAGTTTGTTCACTTTCTTTTGATTCGCATTAGCACAGTACATCTTTCTCCATGCATTTACTTTTCATCCCTGTCTTTATATTTAAACCCAAGTTTTTGCAGACAACACAGGTTTTGCCTTTTAGGATATTTTGTAATATTTTCTTGATTACCAGGCATTCTGTACTGGATAAAAGGAACTGTTCTAAATAGGCCTTTAGTGATGTGTTAAGTTGTGGAGGTAGGACAGAGATCATAGGGAGGAAGGAAGAAAGAAAATAAATGAATTCTGGAACTAGTATGGTTTACAGACTTCTAAACATCAGAAAGATGGGTCAAGGAAGTTACTAGTAGTAGTTACTGAGGTAAAAACATGGCAGATGACTTAAAGTCCTATGCATGTTAGCAGAGGGAGAAAGGTATTACAAAGAGTAGCCATAGATTTTGCTGATTAGTGAGGGACAAAATAACTCAAACACGTATGTTTTTGCAGTGGGTAGTTGAATAGGGTCCTGTGGTGGATGCTAGTGGAAGGGATCTGCCTAAGGTATTTTGGTCTATTGTATGATATAGTACAACTTTTGTGGTGGGAAATTATCAGAGTCATGAATTTCTTTCTGTTGGCTTCTAACCTCTTTAGATAGTGTTTAACTCCAAGCTGAGGCTTGTCTGTTCCCTTTCTATAAAGAAAAAAGAACATATACTTTTATGTATAAATACATTAGGCCAGGTCTGAGAGACATTTTGATGTAGTCTTAAAAAGAGTGAAACTGAGTTCATAGGATCAGCCATCAGTAAATTGTCTGATGAACACTGATCTGAATTTAATTACTGTTTTCATATACTAAGTAGAAGTTTTAACTTCATTTGCCTTTTAAAGTCAAATCCCTTTCCCCACATGAATTTGTGTGAAAGAAATGTGTCTGGCATTATTGGCATCATTGAACTATTTACCCCTAAAGAGAGGAAAATGGGAAAAGCGGGATGTGTGTATGTGAATGAACAGTGCTGAATGAACAGGTTTACCAAGGCTTGTACGTACAAAGAACTTTTGTTCTTCTTTGCTCTATAAGAGCTGACATAATTATTCTTTCCTCAGCCACAACAATCCTGAATTACGCTTACTAGGTGCTTGGTCTCTTTGAAAAAGAGATACTACTAAGTAGTAGTGATTCATAATATGCTGACTATCTGATGGCCTGGTAACCAACTAATCAGTTCAGTTGCCTGCTTTAATGGTGAAGGAAGGTTCTGGAGGCCCCACCATTCTGGTCATTGCCCTTTCCCTTGTCGAATCCTGAGGATCTCCAGGGAGAAAGTAGAGGCCGTTAGCTGCCAACTGGCATAGAAGAAACTGCATATGTTAACAAGTGGTGTGGCCACATGGCTGCATACTGGCTGAATGTTGTGACTGGCTGCAGGAGACAGAGTGGGTAACTGCTGTGTTCTCCTCCTAGGTTTCAGAAACAGAAGTCTGTATTTTCCATATTCGGTGGTACTCAGTGAGTATCCTGGCTTCCTCATCCCTCAGTCCCCGTTGCCCACTACATTTAACCGAAGAAGACCTATGTTTTGTAACACAGCACAGTTCCGGCAGTGTAGTGGCTATGGACAGAAAACAAATATGAAAGAGACTCAGACTGAACCTCATCAGGCTGAAAATATGACTCAGAAACAAGACACCAACTCAGAAGGTGATAGGGTGACCAGTATCCTGACTTCTAATATTGACACAAAAGCCGGCAAAACTGAAGCAACAGGTAGGGTTTTGTCTTCTGTTGTCCAGAAGGAGCCACATCCTGAGAGCCCTTCTCATAACATCGTGTACAGGATATCACCTCAAGGACAGTATGTACCTGAGAAGGCAAAAACGAGGCCAGAACAGAGCAAAGGATGCCCTGTAACACAGTTCTGGAAGACTTTGAAGGAAACTATCCGTTTGTATAACCTAACTTATGGTAAGACCATGCCAGAGAACCTGGTGCAGCATAGTGGGATTTCACAGAGTCCTTGTGAAAGTAGAAGTGAGCTCTATAACCGTCATGAGGGTGCAGACAGCATCACAGGTAAAGATGAAGAAAGCACTATCTGGTCGGAACAGTGTCATGATGTAAAACATGATGAGGTGGTAAAGTCAGGCTCCATCAGGGACATGAACTTGGGAAAAGAAAAAGGCTGTGCAGCTGTTCCCCAATTCCTGTCCTCTCCAGGTGAAGCAAAAGACAGAGATGAAATCCAGGATACACTAAACTCCAGTCTGTGCCAGTCTTCTGGAGATGGCAATCAGCTCCAGCAGGAAAGGCCATTCTGCTCCAGCAATAAGGCCACTGAGGACCTGAGCCTACAGTCCAGATCCCAGAGTCCCATTAGCTTTGGGGAGAGCATGCCAGACAATGGCAGTGGAGGCCATGGCCATCTTGTGAAAGTGGATGAAGGTGAAGTGGTAGAGACGCACACCTGCCCTCAGAGTTATGTCCCTCCCCCTACCTCTCTGGCCCAGTTCAGCCAAGTCAGTGAAGGCATTCAGTGTGATATGAGCCAGTGGCAGGATGCAGAACACGAACAGTCTCCTGAGCCATCACCAGAAAGCAGAAAGACAACAGAGGAAGGGGCAGTCAGGTGTGGGGAATTGGATGAGGTGGTGAGGGACGGCTTCCCCAAGTATGTTCCTAACCCCGCCTGGTTGGCCCACATGAACAGCAAGGGGGTAGATGCGGGGATTCAGTGTGATGGCAGCTGGTGGCAGGATGCAGAGCTGGGGAAATCCCCTGACCAAATGCCTTCCAAAGATGAGGAGTCCTCACCAGCCTGCAAAACTGAGGGCTCACAGGGAAAGACCATCAGGACTGGGGAACTGAACACAGATGAAGAAATGACCAGGAAGGCTGAGACTGAGGAGTAGGAGCACGAGAACTTCAAGAAGTGTGCAGATATTCAAAAGTCTGTGACCGGCAGGAAGCAGACATCCCTGAGCAACTTCTCAAGAGGGAACACAGGCTATTTAGTGAGGAAAAATGCTGCCTCGAACACTGTATTTCCCGAGGATTCAGAAGACTGTGACTTCGAAGAGGAAGTTGAAGGTGAAATGGAGGAGCTAGACTGCCTCTTTGCAGACTTAGTCCACTGGGCCCTGTGGCCTCTTCAATTATCACAAAGTTGGCAGGATCATCAGGATGCCACCCGAGTGCTGTCTCCCTTCCCAACTTCTTGTGTGGCCCGCCAGAAATAAGAACAGGTTAAAGCATGGAGAATATGAGAGCATCCCTGTAGTGTGCAAAGTGACGGGACAGGATGGCCAGTTCCGAGGGGAATGTACGACGGCCATGCAGGAGGGGTTGGAGTCCAAGAGAGCCTCTCATAAGTCCTGGGAACGTAAGTGACTAATGGGCTCATCCTATTTGGTGTCTCCGCTGGTTCCATACTGGGTCCTGGATGCAAAGGCAGCCATAGATCAATAGTGTTTCTCCATTTTGAAAGTATGGTTTTTGTTTTTGTTTTTTTTAAGATCTTATTTATTAATGACAGAGACAGAGAGGCAGAGACACAGGCAGAGGGAGGAGGAGGCTCTCCAAGGAGAGCCTGATGTGGGACTCGATCCAAAGACTCTGGGATCATGCGCTGAGCCAAAGGCAGGCACACAACCACTGAGCCACCCAGGTGCTACTGAAAGTATGTTCTTAAACAACTGTAGGTGCCCATGTTTGTAGGATTGGCAGAGATCTCAAGTTTGAAGTCCTGCATTCTAGGAATTGTAATTTGAAACAAAGAGCTATAGGAGATGATGCAGACCTGAGTGGTGGGAAAGGACAGGAGGCAGAGAGAGAAAAGAGTGATGGACATAGATCTAGGTGGAGTTGCTAAGAACGGGCAGTCCCATGTAGAGGTGGTGAATTTTGATACAAATTTGGGGGCTGTTCTTTGGAGTGAGAATGGAGACAATAGCATGAGCTCAAATGGACAGTCAGGCCAGGTCAAGTATGTTCCAGGGATTGAGCCTGAGAACAGCCAGCCAGGGGGAGAACTGTGAGGAGTTGGGAAAGTGGTGCTAAAATAGTAGATATTTTGGGGCACCTGAGTGGCTCAGTGGCTGAGCGTCTGCCTTTGACTCAGGGCGTGATCCTGGGGTCGTGGGATTAAGTCCTGCATCATGCTCCCTGCAGGGACTCTGCTTCTCCTTCTCCCTGTGTCTCTGCCTCTCATGAATAAATACAATCTTTAAAAATCTTAAATAAAATCTTTAAAAAAAAAATAGTAGATATTTTCCTTTTTAGATTTTGTCCTGTAGGCAATATGGGGGTGCCAAAAGCAAATTGAACAGAGAAAAGACAGGAAGAAATGTGCTCTATGCATCTTCACCTGGTGGGACTGTATAGAAGTTTGAAGTGTAGCTGTATGGCTGAAACTTCTATATAAAGTCAGTTTAGGGGGAGCCCTGGTGGCTCAGTGGTTTAGCGCCACCTTCGGCCCAGGGTGTGATCCTGGAGACCCGGGATCGAGTCCCATGTCGGGCTCCCTGCATGGAGCCTGCTTCTCCCTTTGCCTATGTCTCTGCCTCTCTCTCCTTGCCTGTCTCTCATGAATAAATAAATAAATCTTAAAAAAAAAAAAAAAACACTAAAGTCAGTTTAGTTGAACATTAAAGTGTTGAGGATCCTAACTCTGATGGGAATTAAAATATCTACATTCTCAGAGAATCCATCAATGAAATCGATTCTTCTTTTTTTTTTTTTTTTTTTTAATGTTTATTTATGATAGTCACACAGAGAGAGAGGCAGAGACACAGGCAGAGGGAGAAGCAGGCTCCATGCACCGGGAGCCCGACGTGGGATTCGATCCGGGGTCTCCAGGATCGCGCCCTGGGCCAAAGGCAGGCGCCAAACCGCTGCGCCACCCAGGGATCCCTGAAATCGATTCTTTAAGAAAAAAAAAAAAAAACAACAAACTGGGGTTTGAACATGAGTACCAGGAGAAAATGGTAATAACATTCTTGGAAAAGTAAACTTGGGAAGGGGAGTTGTTTTGCTTTACTGTGTGGTTGTTGGTGGGAGGACTGGACTAGCAGGTCATGCAGACCTGGTTGAAGCTTGAGTTTGGACCACCCTATGATTAGGGAAGGAGCTCAAGGAGTGGGAAGGACCCAAAGTAGAGCCTGGGGGATGATTATATCTGGGGTGCAAAAATAAAGGGAAGTAAGCAAGTGATGAATGGGCTGCATAAAGGGCCCCCTGAGATTGAAGTTCCAATCTTAGCTCCCAAACCAAAACACTGTCCATCTTACCTTTAGTCTTCTCAAAGTTTCATTTGCTCTGCTGTCATTTCCCATCAGTGTGTAGGAATCAGTTTTCCCCATCCTATCACAGCCCTGTGAAGAAGATAACTTCAATTTACTCTTGGTTATACAGTTAAGATGGTAATTTTCAGGCCAAATTCTCTAGATTGTGTCTATTATTTTGTTTTTCAAATCATGTGATGATTTTCCTGCCAAGGACTGTAGAATGATAAAGAATAGTATCTTGAACAATAGATTTTTCATGAAGGATGTATTTTGTATTTGTTTCTCCTTTGGTTTTTTAAGCAACTTGGGTTATTTACTGTATGAATCACTTCTTCCCTCAGGTAACTGTGAGAGGTGGAAAACCAAGGTACCTTACAAAGTTTCAAACAGATTCGAGGCAGATGCCGTAAAGTTTAGGAAATAGCAGGTACAGAGGTTGGTATCTGTGTCCAATTTGGATTTCTCATGATTGGCTTTTAGGGCTTTGTTTGGGGTTTCCTACTCAGTGAATAGTCTGCCCTCCAAAACTAGCATTGCTTGTGGGCAGTAAAAAATGGCAGCAGTCTGATGGGGTAATAGACCTTTTTTTTTTTTTTTTTTTTTAAGACCTGTTTCTATAGATCCTCGCTTATAGTAGATTGGAGCCAAAGCCTTTCAGTTCTGTGGAGTGTTTTTTATGGTGGTTTTCCACATTTAATTCCCAGTGCTGTTGATGGTGGTCTGTTGTGGGTTATATGGGATTATGTAAGTTATTGGAGTGGCTTATCCAAGTGTCCAAGTGTAGAACTGGGAGAGCTAGGTACTGGAAGTTCAGGGTCTCCTTTAAGGAGATAATAGCATGACAGGTTTCTCTTCACACTTTGGTGTTGAGTATCCTTGCCACACCTTCAGCCCCTAGGCCTGGAGTGTCAGGGCGCAAGTGGTGACTGGCCCTTTCCAGGCCATCCTGCCTTGCAGTGGTCATGAAGGAAAGCCTGATATCACTCCCATGCAAAATGTTAAGATCTTTAACTTTATCCTAAAAATGAAAACTAAACACCTTAGTAATGATTCTCTGCATAAGATATCTTGAGTTTGTTATACATCTACTTTAAGGAATTCTTTTATTGTTATTTCATAGGAAACAGATTGCTGCGTTCCAGTTATATAGAAGAACTAAATAAGTGGTGCATCATCATGGTTTAGATTTGAATTGAGAAAGCAATCATACCAACAAAAAGAAAATGTGACATTATAAAGCCTTTGGAATTAAATAAAACAGCAAATAAATTGAATTGCATATGTGTGGGATTCTCAAGCATTTTCTTCCCCTCTCATAATGGCCACATCACTGATAACACCATCAGTGAAGTTGAGTCATTCATGAATACTTCTGCCGTGTGTATTGCTGTCTTGTAATCTCCAGGGACCTTTAAATATGGGGAAAAGGATGGCGGAGTTGAGGACAGAATAAATAGATGAAGGATTTGCCATAAACAGCAACTACCCTGAAGATAGAGACTGACCTTATTTTCTTTATAGTATTTTCACTGATCAGTATATCCATTGGTGGGTTGTAGTATGTTATTGACTTCCAGCATACACTCAGAAACAAGGGAAACTTTAGGCAAATAAGATTTCCTTATACTCAGAGCCTACCACCTATATGGTCAATTTGTGGAACCAATCTTTTCCCAAATAAGTGGCACAGGTTAAGTCTGTGACTAGTGCTAAAATGTTTCTATGTGGATGAAGGCTGTCCTAAGGGTATTTGTAAGATAGGGCAGATGTAGAAAGGCTAGCGTTGCCTCCTAGAAGGACACTCTGGGCGATTCTACGAATATTGTGATGCATAAGAATGGATCAACTCTGACCCTCTGAGTTGCCCAGTGATGAGTTAATTCTATTTGTTTACTATATTTTTATGTTTTTAAACTATTTTTAACTTCTATGGTAACAAAATTAACTCTCAAGATGAGTTAAGGAGATGGTATAAAGCAGTAATACTGCATGAAATGCAAAAAGGCAAGCAAAAGATAATACGGTTTCTAAAGCTGGTCTTACAAGGTTTGTGACTTAACCTCCCTCCTAACCCCTACCTAAAATATTACGTAGATACTCTAAGAAAATATCTGTGACGCCCATCCCCATCCATGGCTAGAATATGGGACTTTTCTGTGGTTTAGTAACACCTGCATTTTCACTTTCATAGTTTGTGATATGCCCACATGGGAGAGTTACATGAGAGAGTTTTCACCCTTGATATCCTGTATTCCTTACTGCTATAGTACCTCTATGGAATAGTTAGACATCATAGCACTCAAATATTTGTAAATGAATGGCTTATTGTCAATTTAGATGAACAGTTTTAGCCTTGTGAGTGTTCCCACCATCATTCCAAGTCCAGAACATAACTGAAATGGGGAGGCTGAGTTAGGAATGCACTGGCTGGAGTAATTGAATAATAAGGAAGATTTGGATCCATATAATCCAACTTCTTGCTTATCTGGGAGCCAGGAAGGCATTCCATTACTCTGACTACCCCCCCCCCCAACAGTCTGATTCATTTACCTATAAATCCCCACAAGAAGTTAAAAGTATGGTTTTTCATTAATGTGTTAGTATGAGTTGAATCTCACCACTTTTTTGACACCTGTGAAATAGTTTCAAGTGTTGGTGAACTAAGGCACTTAAATGGACCATAACTTGGGCTCTCTGGCTACTGGGAAGACGTTGGACCCAAGAAGGTGGGGAAGATAGTAATACTGGTATATGGAAGAGCAAGCATAAAAAGAAGAGGATGGTCCAATCAACACTTTGCCTGCTTTGTAACCCCTCCCAAAGTCTTACCTTTATTCTAGAGGTTAGATGAGAAGTCAAGAGTAAATCTGGTAAACGAAGTCCAAAATGAAGGGTACATCCTGACAACACCTTCCCTTTCATTTTTCCAAGTGGTTATTGGACCCCATGACACACTGAATTCCTTAGGGTTAAACTCTGACATGAAGATTTGTGTGCAGGATATTTAGTGGGGAGTGCTATGGGGAACAAACTCTCTGAAGGGGCAAAGAAAGCATGATTATGCATAGAGAAGAAATATGGATGTGATGCAGTAACAACAAAGACCTTGCCCAATCGCACTGGGAGCTCCTGAGCTGCAATGATGCTGCAGAGCTATCTCAACAAGAGTAAGAAGCCATACTTACACCTCTGCACTGACCAGTCACTGATGCAGGATGCCCCTAGAAAGGAGGCATGACCTTGGGTACTGTGACTCTCTTCAAGAAAGATCCCTGGAAAGGGGAAGTCAGTTGCAACTTGTCAGTTGTTAACCATCCCAGCAGGTGGGAGAGTAAACACTTTAGTCCTAAAGTCAGGGTGGGAATTAAGAGGCAGATACTAGTGGCACAACACAGAATCCATTACAATTTCCATATCAGGTTTCAACTGGAGAATGTAACTGTACTTCTAATAAATTTGCATTGAACATCACTATGTGTGACACATTGTGTTAGAAGCTGAGACTAGGGCAGCCCAGGTGGCTCAGTGGTTTAGTGCCGCCTTCAGCCCAGGGTGTGATCCTGGAGACCCAGGATCAAGTCCCCGCGTCGGGCTCCCTGCATGGAGCCTGCTTCTCCCTCTGCCTGTGTCTCTGGCTCTCTCTGTCTCTCATGAATAAATAAGATCTTTTAAAAAATTAAAAAATTAAAAAAATAAAAAAATAAAAAAATAAAAAGGAAGCTGAGACTAGAACATGCAACAAGAAAGATGGTGGTCTTTGCCCTAAAGAAGTTTCCAGACATGTGGGGCAGTCACTAATTTCCACAAATGTATTGACTTAAAACAATATCCATCAACTTCTGATTTCTGGTAAGTCTTCACTCTGTCCTAAGAAGTAAAAGTAAAAGCAGAACTAAAAATTATCAAATCTTCCTAAATTTGTCAAAGAACTGAGGTCACAGCAAAACCCCTAACCTGAAAATTGCAGACAGGTGGACTTGGAAAATCATAACAACCACAACAGAAACCTCTGTGGGAGGTAGAACGTGCCATGTAGGATATCTACTGTAACAAGTGTACCATTCTGGTGTTGATATAAGAGAGGGGGGTTGTGGGTATGTGGGGACAAAATACATGGTAAATCTCCGTAGTTTCTGCTTAATTATATTGTGAATGTAAAACAGCTGTAAAAAGAAAACTGAATTTTTTAAAAAGTGAAAAGATAGAAACAATGCCCATTTATTATCTCATAGGTTTGTAGGTCAGAAACCTGAGTAGACCACCCTTAAGGTTAGACTCTGACATGAAGATCTGTGTGCAGGAAATTGGAGAGTGCTATGGGGAGTAAAATCTCAGAAGGGGCAAAGAAAGCATGATTATGCATAGAGAAGTATGGATGTGATGCAGTAATAACAAAGGCCTTCACCAATTGCACTGGGAGCTCCTGAGCTGCAATGATCCTGTAGAATAATCTCAACTGGCATAAAAGATCACACCTTACATCCCTGCAGCCTTTGAATAGGTTAGCTATGTATTATAATCTAATCAGGGGAATAAAATCCATTATAGTAACAAGTTCTACAGATTTGGGCAAAAAATCTTGGAGGCTATTTTATAATTGTGCCTACTACAACCATAATGACAGGTAGATAGATACCTTGGTAAAAGGAGGTCTGGTGACTTCTCTTCCTTTTCTATATAGGACTGGAGAGTACTGGGTCTGAAAGGAGAGATTTTAGGATGAGGAACTTTGTTCAGCTTTATAGGATCAGTGGTCCGGGAATTGCAGCAGAGGAAGAAGAGGTTAGTTTGAGGTTTTTGTGGGTAAACTGGAGAAAAGGACTACAGGTCAAGGGATGACAGACCGAACAAAGGACCATGGAAACTAGGCCAGAAACCTGAGGCGAGAGTAGAGATGGGAATTAACTTGCAAGGAGGGATGCAGTGGATGGCAAGATCCCGATTACAACAGGAAGAGGAAGGAGGCTTCAGGAAGAGGTTTAACACTTAGAGCAGTGGTTCTGCAAGTCTGGCCCCCAGACCAACAGTATCAGTATCATTTGGACACTTGTCACAATTGCAAATTCTCCAGTCCACTCCAGACCTAGTAAATCAGAAATTCTAAAATTCTAGGAGTTAAGACCCAGGAGTCTGTTTTAACAACCACTCCAGGTGATTTTGCTGCCCCATAAGTTCAAGAATCATCGATATTATTCTCCCCTAGTGTCACTGAGTATGTTTATCATAAATGGGTTTCCTGCATGAGAAAGAAAATTCCTGGAGGGGAATTCCTGCTGCATGCTGAGCTAGGATGCCAAGGGTAAGTGTAAGACATGGCTGAGTTAACTGGCCTTAGAGCTTTCAGAAATAACAAATCCTGGCTATTCCAATCCGGGCCAATTGTGTTACTCAGGTAAACTTTGTAAATAAGGCCAAGACTAAGGCCACTTACTGAAGAGAGCTGGAGAAGGAGTCAGCCTGGCCTGCATCACTCATTCCTTAAAGACAGGGGAATCCGGGGCGCCTGGGTGGCTCAGTCAGTTAGGTGTCTGCCTTCAGCTCAGGTCATAATCCTGGGGTCCTGGGATCTGAGCCCCACATCTGGCTCCCTGCTCAGCAGGGAGTCTGCTTCCTCCCTCTCCCTCTGCCCCTCCCCCAATGCAAGCATGCTTTATTTATCAAATAAATAAATAAAATATTTTTTAAAAAATTAAAATACTAAAAAAGAGGGGTGAGTCCTCAGGGAAAGTGGCAAAAAGTAAGAATAATGTGTTCCTGGGAACCTGAATGATGTAAGTAGCAACAGAAGCTGGTGAAGGAGGACCACTTGCTTATGAGCAAGATCTGGCTCCACTTTGGCTCAGGGGAGGAAAAGACACCCTCCCCTAGCTGTGGGCACCACCCCAAGCTGCTGAGCTGCCTCAGCTGTGGCACAAAGAGAGAAGTTCTCAGGTGGGCTATACTTAGCCAAGAGGATGAGATGAACTTGGGGATGGGGGTAGTTGGCCCAACACAGTAACTTCTATATCCTTAAAAGTATTCTGAATCTACTATTCTGAAAATAGTCATGGGAAAATAGCAGTAAGTGATGGGAATAGTCATGGGTAAAGAGCAGTAAGATCTAAGCAAGTCAAACACATGATTTTTAAATGTTATTACAGTGTATTTCACTCCTCAAAAAAAAACCCACAAAAAACAAAAAACTCAAGCAATCATGCCAGGGGTTTAAGAACATGAGTCTTTGAGTATAGGAAGGCCCAACATGCTTTATATTGTTTGGTTAAAAAATGAAAAACAATGGTGCATATATTTATACTATACTAAAAAGAGAAAAAAAAATTTTTGATACATAAATATTTCCAGATGACTTTACAAGAAATTGGTAACATTAGCCCTTGGGGAAGGCAACTGAGTGGCTGGGGGAGACAGGAGGAAGGTTTTCCCTGATTAAACCTTGTGTACCTTTTAAATTTGGACCATGTAAGTATATTATGATTCAAAAATAAATAAATGAATATTTTTTAAATAAATAAAATAATGAAATTTATTATCCTGGACAACAGAGAAAAGTCAAGCCTGAAGTCTCTGGGAACCAAGTAGTGCCCTGGTGGGGGGTGGGAGAAGCTGGGGCGGCACCTGGAGCTTCCTCAGAGCTCATCCCCAGTCCAGCTGCCCCAGCAGAGGCCCCTCCAAGGAATCACAAACCTCGGGGCTCAGCGGGTGGAGGGCACTGAACAAAGCTTTCCTGCCTGAGATCAGCTGCTGTCCAGAGCCAGCGCCTGGGAAGGTACAACTCACCCTCCTGGGGTCACATCTTTGCTGGAAGGCAGGTGAGGATTCACACGGGTGATGTCGAATCCCCTGATCTCTGGCAGCTCCCTCCTCGTCCTCCCCGCCTCCGCCGTGGCCTCTGGTCTTTGGCCACAGTGTCTGATCTGTGGGGAGACAATGCTGAACCAGTCAAGTCCTCATCAATCCGAGTCTGAACTCTCATTCGACTTGGAAGACTTATGCTTTCGTTTCTTCTTCTTCTTCTTGTCTTTCTTCCTTTTCTTATGTTTTTCTTTCTTCTTCTTTTTCTTGTGTTTCTCTTTGCATGCTGAGGAACTGGAGCTGCTCCCATCTTCCTCGGAGGTAGAGTCCTCCAGTAACTGTTTCAACTGCTGTATCCTACACAGAGAAGATTAACCAAAACCATATTTAACTCTGAAAAGAAACGTATATAAAAACGATATAAGAGCAGCAGGGAGAGTAAAAAAAAAAAAAAAAAAAATCACCAATAACCACCTTACTGAAGACAGTATTCACTTTTATTTGTGCATGTCTTCCCCATTCTTGTTCACACCCATGCCTCTCTGACGTGACGGTAACCAGTGTACAAGTCACTCTGTAGTCTCTTCATCATCCTAAATTCTTCTGCACGTTTCTCCAGTCCTTAGTACAGAACTTCGAACACGTTCCTACCTTCCTTCATCACACCCCACCCTCCCACCCACAGCTGCTCAAAGTCACACTAGGTAATCTATCTCCTTAACACTTAGAATCCATGTAACCAGTTTGAGAAGAACCAACCCTCCTCTTCATTCACCTTATCTTTATTCTTGTCTAAAGCGAATTTTTAACAATAGCTCAGACACTGAAACTAAGTCAGCATCCATCAGTGGTGTGAGCAGGAGCAGCCAAGCCCACTGCTTTAAGCTAACCCAAGTAGAACAAGGCTGGCCTGCCCATTCCCCACCCACTGGCCTTTCTGTGATTACTCCTGCCTTCCAAATATTTCACAGCTAAAGTACCACAGTTACCAAACCACTCATCGAATACTAGAACGGGTGTTTCCAACTTTATATAATTTCAGACCTTAAGAGGGTATTGGTATCATTAGAACCATCTCACCTTACATCCTTTTCGTGTCTCTTGTTCTCTCGGATGATGTCATACATGGGATCTTCATGTGCCTTGAGGATGACAAAAGGTTACAGTTGTGTTAGGCTCCATGGACTATCAGCTAAATAAAAATTCATGTTTCACTGAAAGCAGTTTGGTGAATTTTATATTTAACATATTCTAAAATAAAATTAAATAAAATGAATGAATGAATGAATAAGTAAATAAGTAAGTAAGTAAATAAATAAATAAATAAATAAATAAATAAATAAATAAATAAATAAATAAATAAAGTTCTAATCCTTCCTAGGGGTTACTTTCGCTGCAAACCCACTGAAGCTGTAACAAAGGATTTTCTGATTAGAAAAATATAGATTACAATTTAAATATCCTTTATAAGAACATATACCATGGCAGAAACATGAAATACTTTTCAAGGTAGAAATACCGAGGTAGTTTTCTTTGTTCTGTTTGGAGAGATGACCAAGAGATAACATTAAGAAGAACAAGTGGTCAGGGTGCCTGGGTGCTCAGTTGGTTAAGCATCTGCCTTCTGCTCAGGTCATGATCCCAGGGTTCTGGGATCGAGCCCCATATCCTCAGCAGGGAGTCTGCTTCTCACTCTCCCTCTGCTGCTCCCCTTGTGCTCTTTCTCTCTTTCTCTATCAAATATATAAATAAAATCCTTTTTTTTTTAAGTGCATATATAATTTATATACACACTTCTAGCTTCTAATTTAAAGACATCTGGTCAAAAAAAAATAAAGACATCTGGTCTTTAAAGACTGGGAAACTAAAACTAATTTTAGTTATAAAACATGATTTTTTATATAAGTTAAAACAAATGACTGAATAAATAACAATCTGCTTTAGAAAAAGAATCATTGGGATCCCTGGGTGGCACAGTGGTTTGGCGCCTGCCTTTGGCCCAGGGCGCGATCCTGGAGACCCGGATCAAGTCCCATATCGGGCTCCCGGTGCATGGAGCCTGCTTCTCCCTCTGCCTGTGTCTCTGCCTCTCTCTCTCTCTCTCTATCATAAATAAATAAATTTTTAAAAAAAGAAAAAGAATCATTATTCCCAAGGTAAAAGCAAATAACACTTTAATAAAAAGTTGGGTTTTGTTAACTAATCTGTCACATAAATGTAATTTTTTTAAAGATTTTATTTATTTATTCACAAGAGACACACAGAGAGAGAGAGGCAGAGACACAGGCAGAGGGAGAAGTAGGCCCCATGCAGGGAGCCCAATGTAGGACTTGATCCCGGGACTCCAGGATCATGCCCTAGGCTTAAGGCAGGCACTCAACTGCTGAGCCACCCAGGGATCCCAATAAATGTAATTTAATAAGAGATGTAGTCAACACCAGATACTCTGACCAAAAAACTTCTGGGAATATATTTTATGCAAACTTCCAGTTTACTGACTACAGCCTGTTTCATTAATATTCACTATTTCTAAAAAATGTAAATTGACAAGGTGGGGTTCTACTTACTACTCTGAACTGCTCTAACTTTTGGTTGCCTTTGATAAAAAAAGGACATTCTTTGTCGCCTGTTCGGTGACCATACCGTTTACAACGCCAACCTAAAAACAGAAAAAAGGAAATATTTCTGTTAAGATAATTTCATTTAATGAAGAATCAGTAGATCACATTAAAAGTTTTCCTTCATTATACTCCAATTCCAGAAGCTAACACAATGAGTGAATGAACCACGTAAGATCCTAGAAAATAAAGGGAAACTAATTGCTTCCCCAAACAACTTTTATTAGTGTAGCTTTAGAAATATTATCTCGGGATCCCTGGGTGGCGCAGCGGTTTGGCGCCTGCCTTTGGCCCAGGGCGCGATCCTGGAGACCCGGGATCGAGTCCCACGTCGGGCTCCCGGTGCATGGAGCCTGCTTCTCCACTGCCTGTGTCTCTGCCTCTCTCTCTGTCTCTCTGTGACTATCGTAAATAAAAAAATATATATATTAAAAAAAAAAAAAAAGAAATATTATCTCATCAGATAGGTATTCAGTAATCCGATGTAAAAGTATTGTAAAGAGTGAATCTGTGTGTGTGTGTAGCTTACTGTATTTTTCAAAGAGTAGGTCTCTTCTATGTATCAAGTGACTTCTGATTCTCATTTACCATTTTAGACACTAGAGCTAACAGCTTCTTTCTCCGATTTAACCACCACACAAAGCTCTTACCTTTAATTAAAACAGATCACAAATTATCTTCAAATATTAATTCCATTAGTACTCTAATATAGCTTTACCTGCTGAATAGGAAAATTGTCCTTTGTAAAAAGATCTGTTATTAGAAGCAGGAGGCCCTGATGAGGAACTGAGAGGAGATACGATAAGAAAATGCTTACACGCACTCTAGGGCAAAAGACAGAAACATGCACCTTCGTGGAATTTCAATGACTAATGACTTGACATTAGGTGTTGATGTGTGGGAAAAATGAAGTGGTGAACAAAGCAGGAATGGGTGAGACCCTTGTTACATCTCTCACCTGTTTTCGTCCTCTCAGAACCATCGGGATTTGAGGCAAATCAGGAAGTCATATGAGAAAAGTGAGCTAAGTGAGACCTTGTGTTTGAACATTAAGGAACTCCAACCAAGGAAGTCAGGAAGCAGGGAGAGGGATTAAGATCTTTCAGGTTTGCTCCATGCTGGCGGCTACTCTAAAGTATGAAGTGAAAGAGAAGGGAAGTTTTTCCTGTTTAACTTTGAGGATAGGATGCAGGAAACCACTGAAAAAGAAGGAAATCTGGAGATTCTTTATTGGTTGCCTCTGAGCTGTCCCTGTCTTTAACTTCCCCAATATTTCAAGTTCAGTAAAGAAGGATTGTACTCCTTCAAACCAAAGTCTTTGTGTTCAAAATTCTCTTAGTGTTAAAGCAAAGGTGATCCTTATTTAAAATGTGTTCATGGGCAAACAAAATCAGCAACACACAGAAGATTGTTAGAATGCACAGTATTTGACCCATCCCAGAAATACTGAAACATACTACAATTTTAAAAGATTAATTGGTGACGTATAGACATATTAAAGTTTGAGTACTACTGTTCTAGGGGATCCCTGGGTGGCTCAGTGGTTTAGCGCCTGCCTTTGGCCCAGGGCACGATCCTGGAGTTCCTGGCATGGAGCCTGCTTCTCCCTCCTCCTGTGTCTCTGCCTCTCTCTCTCTATGTCTATCATAAATAATAAATAAATATTAAAAAATAAAATAAAGTTTGAGTACTACTGTTCTAGATAACACTACAATCAATAAAATCAATGAAAGTGTGTACATGTACATGGGTCTTTTATCCCATTTAGGTTGAGTCCAAATTTTGTGGGGCCTGACTTTAAAATACGGGGGAAGGACTCTTTAGGAAAAAAAAAAAAATCTTGCCCTGGAAAATTTCACAAAATCATATGACCATATCAACAAATCATTGTGTCTGCTGCAGGCCCTTGAAAATCACAAGTGAGTAAAACTGGCTCTGGTCCCAACCCAGACACTTATTTTCCAAGTCAATGCAAGTAACTATAAGGTGGTAACTGAAATAAGGGCACCTGCATGTCACATTTGGTTAAGCATCCAAGTCTTAGTTTTGGCTCGGGTCATGAATGCATGGTCATGAGATCAAGCCTCCAGTAGGGCTCTGGACCCAGCAGGTAGTCTATGAAATAGACTCTCTCCCTCTGGGGCACCTGGGTGGTTCAGTGGTTGACAGTCTGCCTTTAGCTCAGGTTGTGATCCTGGGGTCCTGGGACTAAGTCCAGAATCCGCATTGGGCTCCCTACAGGGAGCCTGCTTCTCCATCTGCTATGTCTGCCCCAATCTCTCTGTGTCTCTCATGAATAAATAAATAAAATTGTAAAAAAAAAAAAAAAAAGATTCCCTCTGCCCCTTCCCCCACTCATGCATGCTTATTCCCTCTTTCTCTCTAAACTAACTAAATAATAAATTTTTACTTAAAAATAGTAATTGAGGGAGCACCTGGGTGGCTCAGCGGTTGGGTATCTGCCTTTGGCTCAGGGTGCAATCCCTGGGTCCTGGGATCAAGTCCCTCATTGGGCTCCCTGCAGGGAGCCTGCTTCTCCCTTTGCCTATTTCTCTGCTTCTCTCATGAATAAATTAATACAATCTTTTAAAAAAAATGTTAATTGAAATGTAAGTAACCACCTCATAAAACATAGCAGTGGTTTTCAAACTTAAAAAAAAAAAAAAGCTGTAGACTTCTGGGTAAAGATGACAGACTATGTGCATTTACCTGCTTTCATTTCCTTCCTGACACTCCATAAAAAGGATATGAAGAGGATTCTTTTCAAAGAGAGTAAGCTGGGCAGCCCAGCTGGCTCAGCGGTTTAGCACCGCCTTCAGCCCAGGGTGTGATCCTGGAGACCTGGGATCAAGTCCCACATCAGGCTTCGTGCATGGAGCCTGCTTCTCCCTCTGCCTGAGTCTCTGCCTGTGTGTCTCTCATGAATAAATAAATAAAATCTTAAAAAAAAAAAAAAAAGCTAGGAAGCACTTAAGTATGGCCAAGTGACAACCTTCATAAAAACACTGAAAATTGGGCAGCCCAGTGGCTCAGCAGTTTAGCACCTGCCTTGGGCCCAGGGCGTGATCCTGGGGTCCCGGGATCGGATCGAGTCCCGCATCGGGAGCCTGCTTCTTCCTCTGCCTGTGTCTCTGCCTCTCTCTCTGTCTCTCATGAATAAATAAATAAAATATTTTTTAAAAAACTACTGAAAATTGTTGCAAACTTGCCCAAATCAACTTACTTGAAACCCTGGAAATTAACTAAAGGTTTGCCACAATCTGAGGAGCATTAATTCAAAAAAAGCTAGTGAAGCTTGGTAAGAACAGCAGGATTTCTGACATATTAACCAGGCTTACTCCCAACCCTCTCTCCCAATCTCCATAATAATCTTGGAAATCAGCAACCTTGTAACCATGACAGCTATGAAAAGCAATAGTCCTGCACCCTCAATAGGAGTAAGACCCTGTTTTAAGGTCCCCAAAAACCCCTAATCTCAGAGCACAAAGCCACACTAACACTGACAGGGTGTTGTTGCTATTTAACTAGTCAGGTAGTTTACTTTACAGGAAAAATCCAGTCCCTCAGGATATTTGTTGAAAACAATTACCTGCAATTGTTAATATTACAGTTGCCAGTCGCTGTGATACCACTGGATAAATAGGAGCTCAGCTAAAAATGTAAAAGACCTGGGGAATGCGATGTCCATAGAAGACTTTCAAAAATTCTGACCTACTCCTGGGAAGCTTGAAGGCATTGCACATGTGCCAACATTTGTTATTTTCTGATTTTTTGATAGTAGTCATCCTAATGGGTATAAGGTGGTATTTCACTGTAAATTTGGTTTGTATTTCCCTAACGATTATTGACACTGAGAATCTTTTCATGAGCTTACTAGATCCTCTTTAGAGAAATGTCTATTCAAATCCTTTGCCAAATTTTAATCACGTTTTGTTTCTTCATTGTCTTTAGGAGGTCTCTATATATTCTAAATATAATCCCTTATCAGATATGAATTACAAATATTTTCTCCCGTTCTGTAAGCTGTCTTCTTACACTATTGATAATGTTTTTATTGACAAAATTTTGAAATTTTCATGAAGTCAAATCTGTTCATTTTTTTTATTGCCTGTACCTTTGGTGTTTTATCCAAGAAATCACTGCCAAATCCACCTTTCTGCATCTTTGTACTATGTTTTCTTCTAAGAGATTTTATAGTTTTATGTCTTACATTTATTTAAGTCTTTGATCCACTTAAATTTTGCATATGGTATTAGATAAGAGCCCAACTTCATTCTTTTACATGGGGATATCCGTTTTGTTTTTGTTTTTGTTTTTTGAAAAGACTGTCCTTTCCCAATTTAATGGTCTTGGCTCCACCATAAGAGATTATCACAACAAAGAAGATGGCTCATGTACAGGAAACAGGAGATTCAATGTAGGAAAGAAGCTAAGGGAAACTGCAGAATGATCCTGTCTTAGTTCAGACTTCCCCTAACAAAATACAGACTGGATCAATTACACAACAGGAATTTATTTTCTCACAGAGCTAGACAATGGATATCTAAGATCTGGGTGCCAACAGAGTTGGTTTCTTGGTTTCTGAAGATCAGTCTCCTGGCTTGCAGACAGCTGTGTCCTCTCATGGTATGTCCCTACCCAATGGAGAGAGGGCAAGCTCTTCTTAAAGGGAACTAATCACATCATCAGAGCCACCTCATTACTTCATCTAATCCTAATCACTACCCAAAGACCCCATCTCCAAATACCATCCCACTGGGGATTAGGGCTTCAACAATGAATTTGTGGAGGGACACAAACATTCAATTCAAAACACAAAGTCAAGGGAAATCCCTGGATTATAAGCATGAGAGCAACCATTTTCAGAAGGGTGAAATTAAGAGAATACTTTTGAAGATCTTAAGATTCAACCTTCAGACCAATTTGAAGTTGAGTAAGAAATCAGTACATAGGGATCCCTGGGTGGCGCAGTGGTTTGGCGCCTGCCTTTGGCCCAGGGCGCGATCCTGGAGACCCGGGATCGAATCCCATGTCGGGCTCCCGGTGCATGGAGCCTGCTTCTCCCTCTGCCTGTGTCTCTCTGCCTCTCTCTCTCTCTCACTGTGTGCCTATCATAAATAAAAAAAAAAAAAAAAAAAAAGAAATCAGTACATAGAAACTAAAAACAATAACAGCAAAACAACACACACACACACACACACACACACACACACACACACACACACCAAAAACCAGACAACTGTTAATTCAGGGGGAAGGAGGGAATTCTTAAAGATGCATAAAAGGAAAGTAATGAGTTGACTATATGACTCAGCTCTGAATATAATCATAATAAAACATCAAAGGCTTATCTAACCAAAATTATGAAAAAACCATTTTGGGGAAGATGTGATATAGTAAGGGTACACATGTGTGTAAGACCAGCAAAGAGCTAAATTCTCATCATCCATACAATGTTGACATACAATGTCAACAAATAACACCTAAACCTGAAAAATCAATGCAATGTAAGTGTCATCTTAGACAGATGAAGACAATATCAAAATAACCAAGTAAAAGAGCTATAAGTGGAAATGGAAGAAAAAGAGACTGGGAACTATTTTAATTATGTGTATAAAGAATCTCTGTACAAATGTCTTTAAAAGGCAGCAGTATCCTTTCTTCAAATACCATCTTAGGCTAGAGGAAAAGTGCTGGAGCCCTGGTGGGGTGGGGGTGTGCATGCATAGCACATCTGTTCTGGACCCCCACAGCTCCTCTCAGGTTACAGGGATGGAACCTTAACACCACTGGTGGGGGGCAAATGATGCAAGACCCAAAGGGACCTGCCCTCCAATACATCTCTTGTCCCTCGTAGCATTTCTACAACAGAATATCCTATTACTGGATATTACCAAAGAGTAAACTCCAAAGGTAGCTATGTTTCTGTGGAAGACCATTGCCCTTGGAGTCAGAAGCCCTGGAATCAAAGCTCTGCTCTACCTCTTACCTCGGACCACTTACTAACACATGCAGGTCAGCTTCCTGAACTGTAAAACAGGGATCATACTTTCACTTAACAGGGCTGCAGTGAGAACAAATTAAAACAAACAAACAAAAAAAGAAGTAAACACGCTCTGTATAGCTTGCGTGTATTGAGGAGTGTTACTTGAAACTCTCCCATGCTCACACTGCATAACTTTGACTTCTTTCCCCAGTGGCATCCAAAGTCCTTTCGTTGGAGCGTGAGCCAGAAATTCCCTGGCATGTTCATTGCCTGGTACATCTGGTATACAGTCTTCTGGCTTCGTCTCATCTTCCTAAAAAAGGAAACAGCGTGTACACAACTTGGCAAAAAAGCACAAGAATTCTCTCCCACCTGCTTCTGAACACAACACTGCCTGGCTTTCTCAGGGGCTGGACACACCCGTGTCATCCTAAGTTACCCTCTCAAATGCGAGAAAGATAAATTATACCTGACAGAAAAACGAGAAATAAATGTACCAGAAGAACTATATCAGGAACATGACAGAGCTATTCTTAGAGAAATATTACTAGTATTGTTCACATAGGAATGATTTGTGAGCTCCAAATCCTGATTCTAGATCACAAAAATTAGATTCAGACCACAAACTTTTCTATTAACTTAAAAGCCTTGTGCAATGAGGCAAAGTATAGAATTAAACAAGACTTCATAAATGATGAGAATAACATGTTAAATTTAAAAAGATTATTAGCCCTTGGAGATCACAGTCATGTTGTACAATCTCACACATGCTGTATTTATGAAGTGTGCTTTCATCACCAAATAACTTCATTACACAATTAAGGTGTTATTTTTTTAAGCTACTGATTGCAGTTCCTATAAACATTAAATTTATACAAAAGAAGAGTTTTATAACAATCTTTTCCTCTCAGTGTACGTGAGCAAGAAGGCTGTCCTGGCCTCTACCGAACTCTCTGGGTCTCCCTCCCGCAGAGAGACTGGATGGACACTGGGGCCAGGTGCCCTGCACCAGGGGCTGGACCAGAGGACCTTCCAGTCCCCTCAGACTACTGTTCTGAGCTGATGACACTCGGGAAGCCAGCAGCAAGTCAGAGGAGGAGCACAACTATGAGAAGATGCAGCCACAGCAAGAGAGGGAGCGAGGGAGAAGGGGACTGATCACTGAGGAATGTGCGGGCCCCAGTTCTTAGGGACAGACACAAGGCTGAGGACATTTCTACAAAGGCACAGGCTGGACCAGCCCAAAGTGTATGAACCGACTGGAATCCGCAGGGTGGAGCGGCGTTATCATAAAAGGATGTTCAAACCTTATGCAACAGGTGTTCGTAACAAGTTACTGAGTCTGAGCACCGAGTCAAATTCGTCTAAGAGAATAACCAAAGGCACAAACTTCACACTGACCTTGATAAGCCCAGGAGGAGGTTTTTCATAGCTAGAAAAGAAAAGACATCATTAAAAACATTAACAAGAACATAACACGTTTTAGTGAGCAAAAAGCAACTGCAGGCCAAAACAAAAAGGATGCTTTTAGTAAAACCTTAAAACTACATTATATCTAAAGCAGTTGAGGGTGGGAGGCGTGATCCTGGAGTCCCACATCGGGCTCCCTACCTGGAGCCTGCTTCTCCGTCTGCCTTTGTCTCTGCCACTCTCTCTGTGTCTCTCATGAATAAATAAATGAATCTTTAAAAAATAAAAATAAAAATACAGCAGTTGATAAAATATGCCCAGCAGTCGGGGATCACCTATAAATAACCTGATGCTGCATCACTTCCTGTGGCGATCTAGAACTGAAATTCCCTGAAGTAATAACCAGGTGTCTGAACATGGTGATTTTACTTTTGAAGAAGAGAAAGCAAGAGATTGCAGGGGAAATGCGAAGGAAGAAAACCTATGAGCTGATCACGGTTCCAAACTGTCACAATTGTCAGGTTGTTTACCTGACACGCCTTCTACTTACTCAACATTGAAGAGGCTCATGGGGGTGGGGTGGTGGCAGGTGGAGAAAACTGTACTGACTTGGTTGGGGGCAGCACAGAGGGGCAGGAGCAAAGCTGGAGGAGGGAAGGGCCTGCTGCAGGGGAAGGAGGTGAAGGTGATCTTAGAGGCTTCCTCTCCCATTTCCCTGCAGCTCCCAGTTCAAATCCTGCCCACCCACCCACCCTGCCCGCAGAATGAGCCAGCTGTCTGCCCCTCGGCTCTCTGACAGCCCTCTGTGTACTTTGGACCTTGCTGGACTCGGGGTCCAGGACCCCTGCACGGTGCCTGGACCACAGGCAGCATTCAGTAAAGAACACGGCTAGAGGAAGCAGATGTATGATGGGTGGGAATGTACTTTCCTTTTGAGCTCTCAGACCCCCAAGGCTCCTACGGGAACATACACATCATCCCTATGCTCCCCATTCATTTTCCCTTCCCATCACTCTGCCGGAACTGCCCCAAAAGGCTTCTAGTTTCCAAATCTGGAAAATTAGTTCCAAATGCTCATGTTCACTTGTCAGTAGTGACACACTTCTAGCTATAACATACACCACGTGGGTGTTTATTTGGCTTTTAACTGTGAATGCCTAGGGAACCATAAAGGAAAATAAGAATGAAAAAAAAAACATGATAACCAAACATCATGGGTCCGTTCAACATCCCTACAAAGAACATTTTACTGAGGACATCTGGGCATAGCAGCTGGCTTAAAAATGTGAAAGACTCCAGAAACATGGAAATGTGAGAGCTTCAACACTGCTGCACCCAGATGGTGAAGCAAGGGTGATTAATTAGGTTTTCTATAACGAAAATGTATTACTTTTATCAACAGATAAACATTAATAAATCTTTAAAAAGTGAATTAGAGGGGATCCCTGGGTGGCGCAGCGGTTTGGCGCCTGCCTTTGGCCCAGGGCCCGATCCTGGAGACCCGGGATCGAATCCCACATCAGGCTCCTGGTGCATGGAGCCTGCTTCTCCCTCTGCCTGTGTCTCTGCCTCTCTCTCTCTCTCTCTCTGTGTGACTATCATAAATAAATAAAAATTAAAAAAAAAATAAAAAGTGAATTAGATATTGAAATGGGACAATTTCCATAATAGTTTTAAATTTTAAAAAAGGGTGGGGGGAGGGAATAGAGAGCAAAACAATGTATTTGGTAAGCTTCTATTTGTGTGTGTGGGGGGGAGAAGGAGACTATATATGGCCACATACACACACACCTTTTAGGTACCTCTACAAGGAGAGCAAAGAAACTAGTTATATGCTTGCCTCTAGGGAGAGGCACTAAGGATTATAAATAGAAGAGATCTTTGTTTTTCATTCTACTCACATCTACATGCATGAGCCTGCAAAATGCTTTTTAATTGCACAAGAAAAATGAAATCAGTGGTAACTACATTACAGCTCTGTTGGTATAAGCTCAGCTTAATATAGCTCTGAAAGAAAAACTAAATATAACTTGGGAGTAAGAAAAATGGAGCCAAATATATGCTATTAGGAGTTCATATCTGCTCTAGAGTTGTATATGCTAGATTTTTGTCTGAACAATCAATGCTACTTCTGTAATTGTTTCAGGAATATAACCTGTTTGGTCTAGCCCTAAACTTGGTATTTTCCTCTCAAGAAAAAGGAACAGGTATAATAGGCAAAACTAAATTTGATATTCAGGTAATATTAAAGGTTCCACGTAAAAACTTACTCCTTGCAGAAGCAACCAGTCAATTATTGTGCCAGGCACGTTGCTAAGTACTAGAAGGGAGAACTAACGGCATAAGGATATGACTAGTTAAAATCAGAAAACATATAAAATGAAAACTGCTCTCAGAAGTGACAAGTTTTTAAATAGCTGTCCTGATAAAAGGAGACGTTCTATCTTCTTCGAGTAGAAGACCCCAGATTCTAGCAGGATTATTTTTCAGTTCTAAATCGACATTAGGGACACCTGGGTGGCTCAGAGGTTGAGCATCTGCCTCTGGCTCAAGGTGTGACCCTGGGGTCCCGGGATGGAGTCCCACATCGGGCTCCCTGCATGGAGTCTGCTTCTCCCTCTGCCTGTGTCTTTGCCTCTCTTTGTGTCTCTCATGAAGAAATAAATAAAACCTTTAAATAAATAAATGTATGTATGTTAATGTGAATCCTGACAAGGTGAGGCAAGGCAGGGTAAAAACCTCATGCGCTTTGGAGGCAAAAACCTTTGGTTTGAATTATGATTCTCACTGTGTACTTTGGGCAATTTACTTAACCCCCCAGAGCCTCCATTTCCCCATGGGTGAATATGTCACATCACACACTTCACAATGCTGGCTGCTGTCCCTTCTGTTGAAGATGAGTCCATGCTCTCAAGAACCTCAAGACTGGGATCCCTGGGTGGCGCAGCGGTTTGGCGCCTGCCTTTGGCCCAGGGCGCGATCCTGGAGACCCGGGATCGAATCCCACGTCGGGCTCCCGGTGCATGGAGCCTGCTTCTCCCTCGGCCTGTGTCTCTGCCTCTCTCTCTCTCTCTCTCTCTCTGTGTGTGTGACTACCATAAATAAATTTTTTAAAAAAGTTAAAAAAAAAAAAAAAAAACTTCAAGACTAGGGCAGCCGGGGTGGCTCAGCGGTTTAGCACCGCCTGCAGTCCAGGGCATGATCCTGGAGACCGGGGATGGAGTCTCACGCCCCGCTCCCTGTGTGGAGCCTGCTTCTCCCTCTGCCTGTGTCTCTGCCTCTCTCTCTCTCTCTCTCTCTCTCTCGAATACATAAATAAAATAAAATAAAATAAAATAAAATAAAATAAATAAAATAAAATAAAATAAAATAAAATAAAATAAAATAAAATAAAATAAAATAAAAAGAACCCTAAGACTGGAGCAACCAGCCTCACAGAGGTCAAGATCTGAAGCAACAGAAGTGGAAGAAAGCAACCTAACAGGTGGTAAATGACATATGCCATGAGTCTCTAATCTAAAGCTTTTCTGGGCAGATAGAGGAAGATCTGTCCAGTGAAGACTACATAGTAAACAACTAGGCACGAATAGACTTAACTTCTTAGGTGTGGTACAGTGGTTTCCCAAAGCAAATGCTTACAATATTTTCCTTTTTAAAAAAAATTATTTATTTATTCATGAGAGACACACAGAGAGAGAGGCAGAGACACAGGCAGAGGGAGAAGCAGGCTCCATGCAGGGAGGCCGATGTGGGACCTGGTCCAGGGTCTCCAGGATCATGCTCTGGGTTGAAGACGGTGCTAAACCGCTGAGCCACCCAGGCTGCCCCAATATTTTCTAACACAAAGTGGTGGCATAACCTAGCAGAGTGATGGAAATCCGCATAAGCTGAGGAAACGATACAGTTCACCTGCAGCCATCCATTTAAAATACTGATGCCATGGCTCAGGCACTGACACCAAAGGGAGTTTGGTCGTACAGTCTATGAATCCAATAATCCAGTGATACATCCTTTGAGCTGCAAGAGTTGTACAAAAACAACATATGGCCAATCAAACAGAAATCCAAATTCCTGAAAAATATGTAACTGATTGCCAAGATGAAAAGGAATGTGATAGATCTACACACTTTGAAATCTACTACTAGCAATGGCATTCCCTTAAAAAAAAAAAAAAAAAAAGTCCATTCACAACTGTTCTCACAAATTTAGAAGAAGGGTCACACTGGAAAGAGCCGGCCGGCCTCCAACAGGCAAAGCTCCCGGGTTGATGACAAAGAATCTGAAGCCTCTAAGGACTTTCCCTTCCACCTTCCCATAGGTAATGCCGGTGCCTGAAACAGGACCCCGGGGACGCCAAGGAAGGGCCCTGCAAGGCCGGGAATCCGCCTCCCCCCGGGTCCCGGCTCGGCCCGTGGAGCTGCCCCTGGCCTCGCTGCAGCCCCTGCACGCCCCGACGGCCGCGGGGTCTCCCCTGCACCCCCCCGCCCCCCGCCCTGGCCGCAGAGGAGGCGAACGCGGCTTCGGCGGCTTCACCGTCGGCCCCGCGACTCGGCCCCCGGGAAGGCGCAGGGCGGCGGCGCTCACTGCACCTGCCGCGCGCTCGGGCCCTCCGCGGGCCGGGAGGGCAGCCCCAGGCCGCCCGGCGCCCCTCCCCCCTCCCCTCCCCCGCCCCTCCCCCTCCCGTCCCCTTCCCCGCCCCTCCCCCTCCCGTCCCCCTCCCCGCCCCTCCGAGGCGCGGCCCGCGGGCACCCGGCGCCCCGGCCTCCCCGGCCCCCCCGGCCTCCCGCCCCCACACCTGGCGGAGCAGCGGGGCGGCGCGGACTCACAAGGACTCCAGGTGCTTGAGCTGCTGCAGCTGCTGCGCGTCGTGCCGCCGCCGCTTCTGCTCCCGGCGCCGCTGCAGCTCCTGCTCCGCCGTCTCCCGCGGCCGCCGCGCGCCCCCGGCCCCCGCGTCGTCGCGCCCGGGCCCGGCCGACATCGCGGCCCGCGTGGCGGAGGCGGCCCCGCGGCGGCCCGAGGCGGTGGCGGCGGCCAAGACGGCACTTCCTCCGCGCCGCGCCGCGCCCCGCCCCGCCCCGCCGGCCCCGCAGCGCCCCCTCCGGCGCGCCCCCTGGCGGCGGCCGCGGGCGGCGGAGGAGGCGGAGGCGGAGGCGGAGGCGGAGGCGGAGGCGGAGGCGGAGGCGGAGGCGGAGGCGGAGGCTCCCCGGAGGCCCGCGCGCGACCCGCGGCTGCGGCTGTGCGGGCGGGGCTGCTGCGGGGCATTTTCCAGCGCGCGGCCACCGCCTCGTCTGCGGCGGACCTGGACACGGTTTGGGAGCTGGTCGGAGAGCTCCCTCCGCTGAGCGCTTTTATGCGCTGGTCGTGGAGCCAAGCCCTTAAGTCGATTTAGTCTTTAAAAACTTACCAAGTGCTGTATTACCCTGCTGTATTACCCCTATGTATTACCCTTATCTTAAAGATAAGAAGGAGGCCTGGGTGGCTCAGTGGTTGAGCATCCGTCTTCGGCTCAGGGGTGATCCCCGGCTCTTGCGGTGGAGCCCCGCATGGGGATCCCCACGGGGAGCCTGCTTCTCCCTTGCCTAAGTCTCTGCCTCCGTCTCTCATGATTAAATAAATCTTAAAACAAAGCAAAACCGGGGATCCCTGGATGGCTCCGCGGTTTAGCACCTGCCTTCAGCACGGGGTGTGATCCTGGAGTCCCGGGATCCAGTTCCACATCGGCTCCCTGCATGGAGCCTGCTTCTCTCTCTGTCTCTGTCTCTGTCTCTCTCTCAGTGTCTTTCACGAATAAATAAATAAAATCTTAATAAAACAAAACCAAAAAAAAAAATGCAGAAGTAGAGGAGCCAGGCTGCAAAGTGTTAAAGTGCTTAACTAGGTTGCATTTTGTAAAAGTATCTGATATGTGAAGTTATGATTGTTGTTTTAGCCTTAACATAATGGGAAAAAACACAAAGGAAGTAAAAATAACATTCCCCTCAAATGTGGCGTTCATTATAATTAATTAAGACTTAATTAATTAATTAAGACTTAATTAATTAATTGATTGATTAAGACTTAAATACATGAGGAGCTCCTTCACTTTTATTAGGGAAAATCCAAATGAATCCAATCCAAATGAATGAGCACACAAAGGCTATGAACACAAACACAGTTATTACGCTGATATGTCCCAGAGCTTGGAAATCAGGTTTCCTCTGAGGGAGAACGGTCATGGGCCAATCCAGTTGTTGATGTAAGTACCTTTACCTGGGCCAGTAAGTGGCCTGTAAATAATTATCTTGCAAGATGTCTTCATCTAGTCAAGAAAAATATAGTCTAAGGAAGATGTGATTGAGAAACAAAAAAAGTGTAGCTTAATTGTGTTACAGAAGGAAGATGACCTATAGAATCTAGAAAAGGAGAACCAAGAAAAAACAATCAGGTGGTGTTTGTCCAGCATTGTCCACTGAAGACACAAATTATGTATACACACAAGTGTTCTGATCCCTAGAGAAATATGCACCATTTGGAATAAGGCATAAATTTGATCAATCTTAGCCCCATTTTTTCTTTTTTAATTGAAGTATAGTTGGCATACAGTATTGCATTAGTTTCAGGTATACAACATAATGATTCAACATTTATATACATCAAGAAATGTTTACCTTGATATGTGTAGTTACCACCTGTCACTATGCAAAGTTATGACAATATGATTGACTATTTTCCTTGTACTGCACTTTTCTTCCCTGTGACTTATTTCTTTAATAGTTAGAAGTTTGTGCCTCTTAATCCCCTTCACCTGTCTCACCCATCCCCCCTCTTCACCCCTCTAGCAACCACCTATTCTCTATGAAACTTTCTGTTTGTTTCTAGATTCCACATGTTAGTGAAATCATGATATTTATTGTCTTTTTCTGTCTGACCTATTTCACTTAGCATAATACCTTCTATGTCCATTCATGTTGTCAAAAATGGCAAGATTTCATTTCTCTCTATGCCTGAGTAACATTTCACTATATATATATATTATATGTATATTATATTATTATATTATATTATTATATTATATTATTATATTATTATTATTATATTATATTATTATATTATATATATATATCACATCTGTATCCATTCATCTATGCATGGACACTGATTGTTTCAGTATCTTGCTTGTTGTAAATAATGCTGCAAACCTCGGCTCCATCTTAAAGGCTAGCCAAGCCTCTGTGCTGATTCCGTTCTCACCCAGCAACATCCTGACACTATACTATACCATATCCTAATATGAAGAGAATGGTGTTTTTGTCAGGTCTGAATATTGGGATTAGTGGAAAGGTAGGTCTCCTAGTGTAAATCAGTAACTTGACATTACAAGTTGTAATCGAATATGTCTTTAGTTATTGTGGCAAATGGTATCATCCAAGTCACCCGCAATAATCTCCCTCATCTCACATGACCTTGATACTCCTCCCATCAAAAAGTGGGGTCTATATCCCTTTTCTGTTTTTTTTTAATTTATTTATTTATGATCGTCATACAGAGAGAGAGAGAGAGAGGCAGAGACACAGGCAGAGGGAGAAGCAGGCTCCATGCACCGGGAGCCCGACGTGGGATTCGATCCCGGGTCTCCAGGATCGCGCCCTGGGCCAAAGGCAGGCGCCAAACCGCTGTGCCACCCAGGGATCCCTATATCCCTTTTCTTGAATCTAGAACAACCTTAGCGATTTGGTTGTAACTGGTAGAAAGTAGTGGAAATGATGCCTAATCATTTTTAAGGTTATGTCAGAAAAGATTGTATAGCTTCCATTTGGTTCTCTTGAAATATTTGCTCCTAAAGCCTTTAGGAATGTAAGCTGTTCAACGGCCCTGAAGCCACCATGCTGTGAGGAAGCCCAAATTGACACACAAGGAGAGATCACATGAAAAGATCTTGAGATGCAGTAAACAGAGGGATGCCAGACCAGACCCCAGGGCCTAACCCCCCCAAGCCCTGGTCAGAAGACCCCACAGTGCATACCAGAGTAAATCTAAGGGTCTCACACCAACCAAGTTGAACCACCATTGTTCCTCCCCTCCTCAAGAGGCTTTTTTGCTGGCCAACCTATGCCCCTAAAGTAAAAGAAAGGAGGAAGAAGAAAGAAAAAGGAAGAACGAAAAGATAGAAAAACCACCAAATGTTCTCCAACCATAACCTTATAGCAAGCCAGCAGATAATCTAAAAACCTTAGGATATACTTCTATGCAGAAGTCAATTGAATTGGGTTTCTCGGGATCCCTGGGTGGCGCAGCGGTTTGGCGCCTGCCTTTGGCCCGGGGCGCGATCCTGGAGACCCGGGATCGAATCCCACGTCGGGCTCCCGGTGCATGGAGCCTGCTTCTCCCTCTGCCTGTGTCTCTACCTCTCTCTCTTTCTCTCTCTGTGACTATCATAAATAAATAAAAATTAAAAAAAAAAAGAATTGGGTTTCTCTCACTTGCAATTGAAGGAACCTTGACTGGTTCAAATATTTGCCTAACACAATGATTTGATCTCCCCCTTTGAGGTGGTTCTGGGGGAGATAGATGCAAGAAGATCCAAGGATTGATAATTCCACTTTAGCAAGTATTAGTCATGAGTTTTTGGCAAACAATAGACCAAAATCCGAATCAAGCTGTTTTAAGAAAATAAATAAGTAAAGGAATTTATTAGGCTCACATATGTGAAATATCATTGGGTAGAACTTCAGGAATGGCTGGGTGTAGGTGCTCAAATGTTATCACTAACAATTTCTCTTAACTTCACTTTCTTTTGTATCACTTCATTTTCATATTGTTGCTCTCATTGTGGAGGCAAAGATGGCCACCAATTTAGCAGCCCCAGCTGGAAGAAACCTCTTTCTCAGTTCCAGTAAGGCACCCATCTATTATACTCGTTAGCTCGAGAAGGATTATGTAGCTGTCATGGAAACAATCACTGTGGTCAAGGAGGTGCAGCACTCTGACTGGCCAAATCAGTGTCATACACCCACCTTAACACCTGGGTGCCTCAGCGGTTGAATGTCTGCCTCCGGCTCAGGGCATGATTCCAGGGTCCTGGAATCAAGTCCCACACTGGCCTCCCTGCAGTAAGCCTGCTTCTCCCTCTGCCTGTCTCTGACTCTCTCTCTGTGTCTCTCATGAATAAATAAATAAAATATTTAAAAAAACAAACAAAAAAAGGGCAGCCCGGGTGGCTCAGCGGTTTAGCGCCGTCTTCAGTCCAGGACGAGATCCTGGAGACCCAGGATCGAGTCCCACGTCAGGCTCCCTGCATGGAGCCTGCTTCTCCCTCTGCCTGTGTCTCTGCCCCTCTCTCTCTCTCTCTCTCTCTCTCTCTCTCTCTCTGTGTGTGTTTCTCATGAACAAATAAATAAAATCTTTTTTAAAATTTTTTTATTTTTTTCAAATAAATAAAATCTTAAAAAAAAAAAAGAGAGAGAAAAATTTCCTGGTCACCAACCCAGTGTGAAATGCAAAGCGCTGTGATCACTTCACAGAGGCATGATGGACCCCTACCCACCCCAAACTGGTTTACTATCATGACTGATGATGCCACACATGCACCATGAGGTAGAAAGAAATATATTACTCACATATTGAGACTTTCTAGAAGAGCATTTCAGATACTTAAGCTAGTCCAAAAATGGCTTCAGCAAAACAAAGGTGAGTGGTCCTGGGTTTTATGCTGCGTAGGAGGTGGAACTGGGTGAGTTTCACAGTCCCAGGCTAAGATTTTGTGTAGTTTGAACTTCACCTCTGGTGCCACATGGACTTCCCTATCAGCTTGCCCCCATGTGGGGCCGAAGGGGTAAAATGGAGGTGAGGATTGAAAATTATCAGTGGTGAGCATCCAAACTGGAGTGAGACGATTTATTACACAGGGCCATCTCTCAGATTCAGTCCAGTTTTCTGGTTGTGATAGACTCAATGTAGTAACATCTCACCCATTAAGTAATGAAACAAACAGGAATTCTTTCCCTGCTGGTTATAATTTGAAAACACTATTC